AACAATTATTACTTGAAACATTACGTGAATATGAACATCGATTAAGTCGAACAGGTTTTGATAATGATATAAGTGTAAGTCAATATTAAAACTTTTTTTTATTGTTATAATCTGTTGATTTTTAAAGGAAGAATTTGAAAATATGAAATTAAAACAAAAAGAATTATTTATTGAAAAAAAACATCAAGAATTAGATTTAAAAGAAGAAAAATATATTAAAGAATTAGATCAATTATCTCAAAATGAACATTCTTTATGTCAAATTTTAACAGTAACACAAATGGAAATTAATACAGGTTCATAAAAAAAAATAATGCAAGAAATTGTTTTCAAACTACATATTAATCTTTTTATTTAGATGAAACTTTAGTTAAAAGAATTGAACGTTTACGAAATTATATAAATTCATTAAACAAAATTAAAGTTTGTATTTTGAAAGAATAATATTATGAACTATTCAACTATTCATTTAGACTGAACGACTTACAACAATTAAATCTTATCGCAATCGACTTAATGATTTATGTAATCGACTCGATATTAAACCAAATCATTTATCAATAATATGTCAATTAATTGATGAGAAATATGAATCTTGTTTAACAACTGATTCTCTTGGTCAAATCGAATCTTTTCTTAATGACGTATTTTTTTTTGTTTGATGAAATTCACTTGATAAGTTTTTTTTTTCATGTAGCTTGAATGTAAATCTGAAGAACAAGAAAAATATGTCAATACGCTTGTAGGAACATTAGAAAAATTATATGCAAAACTTGCAAGAGATGATGCATCGCCACCAAAACGTTCAGCTGCTTATATTTTACGACATAATACTGCAGAAACAGTGAAACAGGTGAGTTTTTAATAATTTCCTCTTGACAAAGAATGTGGCTTACGAAGGAACATATGCAATTGTCGAAGACCGTTGGATTCTATCTTTTAGCTGTAAGAAGATCTTAATGCGACGAAGAATATCATAAAAGAGTTCGTGTCCATGGATTGCCTCGACAGACATCTCATTGTCACATAGATATAAGAAAAATGAGATATTTTTAAATTTTTCCTAATTTCTTATTCTTTAGTCTGAGAAGATGTCGACTGATATTTTGACTGAATTTTCATTTAATACTGCCATATTGCCTCATTTAGTCAATAAACGAAGATGTGGGTATCGGTAAGAAGAAAACACCCACACTCAACATTCCATTTCTTACACCTATGCGACAATAATATCGCTTTTAAGTCACACTATGGGCATAAACTCTTTTAAATTCTTCTTGATCTCACTGAGCCCTAATCACAACCAAACAATAGAGTTGAACGATGTTCGCTTGTTGCATATGTTTCCGCATTAGTCGATATTTTTAGCATATTGATCTAAAAGTTCATCTCTAACAATTGTGAATCAGAATAGTTGAGAGTAGTCATATTAAGACAGCTGTTGTTACTTTTCAGAAATATTGAGGAACAACATTCTTCATAGAAACGAAGAGAAAAAGTACTAGTAATATTTTGACCATTGATATCGTTATTTTGAGATAGACATTATATGAGGCTCATGTTCATTTTTTTAATTGTATACTTTAACGGTTATTTTAAAAGTAAGAATCTTGAAGTGTGATCGATGCTTCTAGTCATCAACATATATTCGGACTTGGTCAAACTTTAATACTCTCAATAAAAGTTTCTACTCGAAATTGACTAGTTGTCTCGAAGATACGAGGTACTTATCTCTGTTGTTTTGTATTTGGTGACTACCGTACTCTATACATTTTTCAGATGGCTAGAACATATCGGGTCCAAAATTTTCAAATTCGCATGCGGGACTAACATAACGGGCACTTCTTTTCAGAAGCTTTCTATCATATTTCAATTAATACATTGTAATTAACTAAAATCTTCTCATTTACAAATTTACAATGAAAATATCTGCATCATATTGCAAACTGAATTCTGCACGAATATTGCTATGTAACATTCGAAAAAATTGTTCAGAATAGTAAAAAAATTTATGTATGGTTTAAAAAGTCATTTGGATTTGTGACAAAGTCCTTTGAATCATTATCACCGTATCATACATCATCTAAGGTAAATCATATTGGCTTTTTTTTTCGATTATTTTAGCTAGAGAATGAAATTGCTCAATTACAAGCTAAAAGAATGGCTACTAGTCAAGCATATTGTGAAAGTATGCGAAAAAAGATTGAAGAACTTTATGAACAATGTCAAATAGGCAATTCTGAACGTTGTTCAATTGATTTTGGTGAGATGAAAATATTATTTTATTTGTGTTTTATAAATTAAATGTTTTCAACATATAGAAAACATAACACCTGAAACTCTTGATGAATGTGATCGAGAATATGATCGTTTGGATGATATGTATCATGTTCGAAAACCTATACTTAATGCTTTTGAACAATGGAAATTACTTGTACAACAACATAGTGAATTTCAAGTATGATTTGATTGAAATTTTTGTTTTATATATTTAATCAATTTATTATTATTTATTTTCTGATAGAAAAAATCTACTTCAGCAGCACGTTTTCATGAACGTGGTTATTCTGCAGTAAAAGAACAAGCTGAACGCAAACGATTTGCTATTATTTTACCAAAAGCTGAACGAACATGTTTAAATATATTAGAACAATGGGAAAAAGAACATATAAATGAACAATTTTTGATAAATGATATTTCAATTCGTCAAATTATTGAACAACAACATATTGGTACATCAAATACAACAGCGACAGTTGGCAATAATCCTCCAACGACAATTCCGAAGACGGTAAATTAAGAATATTTAGTTGTTTTTTTTTAAATATAATTTATTCAGGTATCAATGCCATCAATTGGTTCGACTGCTGTTCCTCAACGTACATTATCGAAAAATAATATTCGAAAAAAGTCACTACGAAATGTTGTTAAACAAACAGTTGAATCACAAGTTAGCAAAAGTCGTCATGATGAAATTGATGAAGATACACTTGAATTTACTCAAATAGAAAATATTAAACATATTAATGGATTACCACGAGTAATATATAATTCAAACTTTTATTTATTTATTTCCCTGTGTTTTATGTATTTAAGATTGTAACATCAACACCTAAAAGTGGAAAGAATAATAATAACAGTCATACGGTTGTTGATGTAGGTCGAAATAAAAATAATGATCCTATTCAAAAGCGTCGTCCGTCTAAACGATTAGTATGTTATAATAATATAAATAAATAATTTTATCTCTTGTTTTTAGATTCCAACTCGTCGATGAATCTTTATTAAATATTTATATTTCTTTCTCTTTATTAATACAAATTCTATAGATTAATTGTGGTTTTGAATTCATTTATGGATATATATATCTCTTTGGTTAAATTTGTCAGATTTTTTGATATTATAAATAAAAGTCAGATATTTGTCTATATAACAATGATAAATTGCACTTCATCTATTTGAAATAGTCATTATTAATTCAAAAATAAAATAATCTAAAAGTAATCATTATTAATTGAATCATTTCAAAGTTTGGATTCAATTCTAAATGACTTATACTTGACTTTTAGATTGTCATAACTGTACAGGTTATTAATATAACAAAGATCTGAAATTTACACTGAAGCAAAATATATGAATGTTCTAGTTTAACTAAAATTTTCATTTCATTGAATTGAATTGTAATAACTTGACAAGAATAGAAAGTTATCGTAATGCACTGATTCAAGATGCACCTCTTTCATTAGAGCTATCCAAAAAATGTCGAACAATAGTTTAACATTTGACGATACTTAGAGGTACAAACCTGCTGATTGAGCTGTCATTACTGTTATGACACAAAATTTTTCGACATTTCGCATCACTTTTTGGATACGTTGCCGTCTGATCTCTTGTCAATAAGTTCTCTATCATCGTTTTCTCTTTTGTGTATTTCAAAATTAAGACAGTTTGTTAAAAATGCATCGATTTACATCTTTAATGATACTACTATTATTTCCAATTTTTAAAATAGGATATCAGTGTTCGAAATGTGATAAAAGACAATAAGATCATTTTTCTCCGCATTTTTTTTTACAAAAAGTTTTCGATTTTGGTTTACAACTACGGCTCATTTTTGCAATTATTAAAAACTAAATAACATCTATTAATATAGAATATATGAAAACGTAAAATAGATTCGATCATTTTATATTTGAGAAATTTTCTTCCGAGCTTTAGAGGACAAGGTGTACACGAAGAGTTAGAACTAGTTGACAAGAAGAGATTGTAATTATCAACTACTACTCAAATGAATTTTATTTCAAAAAAAAATTTTTCTCATCACTTCATCATTTTTTTTTTAAACTTGTGTATTAATCGATATGATTTTGTTACAATAATTATGTTATTCATTGATCTTTCTTTTGAATTCATCTGAAGAATCTAATTTTATTTTAAGAGAACATTTTTTTCACAAAATTATTTTATCATTATTTCATCCGATATTTCGAACATTGAAACTAAAACATTTCTTTAGCAAATCATGAGTAAAATTTTAACTATAAATATGTCATTTGTTTTCAAATTATGTTTATTCACATTCTATCTAAATATATTAATATTTGTTTGGAATAAAAGATAGTTTTTGTTCAATTTCTTTTAGTTTGTGATCTAGGATAGCACATGTTTACATTACACGAAAAAAAAAAGAGTTAACATACAATGACAAGCACACATTTCTTGGTTTTTAATACATGCAAGATTTCGAACTCAATATACAACAAAGAACGAACGAGTGAAAAAAAAACATGAAACGAATCGGAAAAATAGTACCTATAAAGAGTTAATAAAGAAAAAAAGAAACTGATCACTATATTATAAGATATCTACACCTGGCAACAAATGACAATTAGTTAATATTGTTGTGTCAACAACCGGAAAGAAAATGAATAATCTATTTAGATAGGAATACATTAAGGCATAAAGTTTATTTGAATAGATATGGATCACAACCATTTGCATTAATCCATAACACTAAAACAACATGAAATAACATAAAATATTTAAAGAATGGATATGTGTATTGTTTTCAACACTTTATTCTATTCAAAATCTAAATATCTTATCGATGAAAATTCTGATCAGATCTCTATGAGATTCCGGAACTTAGATGTTGTCTCGATCAGAATTCAGAATTTTAAATGAATCAATATTTTTCAATTGTCTCAATTTCATTATCGATAAGTAAACAAAAGTAACGAGTAGGCCATAATAAATCGGACTAAATGTAAATGCAATGTTCCTCTCAAAATATTTATGCATACATCAAAAATAAAGAACATATCTAACTTTAAAAAGATAAGCATTTTACTCTAAAAAAATTTATACCTTTGCTTGACAATTCAAACATTTATATACTCTACGCATTCTTATTGCTATCTATCGTGGTTTCTGCTTTGCAAAAAATATGAAAGATCTCGACAGTAGGGAATTTTATATCAAAAGATAGCAACTTTTGTTCTCTGTGTGGTTGATCCAATTTCAAATGTCAAAGATTTACTGGAGAGTTGAGAATACATTCCATGGTTTTGATTGAGTTGAACTTTAATTGCAAAGCCTTTATTTAGATATCTACAAGACCGTGTAGCTCAATGAATCGCAGTACAACATGTGTTCGCTTAGAGTCGCGCAAATCGAGCAGACTTCAAACCGATGTAAAATTTTGTTTTTGTTCTTCATTTATTCTATTCTGAATTTTTTGTCATAAAATTATCGTTTAAACTGCTAAAGGATGAGTGATTTCATTACAGAAATCTCTAGAATGAACAAATAAAGATTTCTTGGCATCAATTTAAGAATATTTGAATCTATATGATGATTTAACGGTTTTGGTTCCAAAAAATTTTAAAAAGTCGGTACAACTTTTTTTTGAAACCGCTGAACTCTATTTACAGTGTATCTTAATGTGCTAGTTATTTTGAAATTTCAAAAAAAGTTCAATGTATAAGTAAAGTACACAGTTTTGTAGAGATTGAAAAAAATTCATTTACAATTAGTCGGATTCATAATGATTTACTTGTTAGATATGGTTAAGATCAAATGAATTCCATAGTTTATTTTCATCATGAATATTATGTAAATGCTTGGCTATCTAAAACTTGCATCTATTACTAAATGATACTTTTTTTAAAATTCGATGCATTGTATCATTTGTTTTCAAATATGTATAAATCATTTTTCATCTATTTTCTTCTAATATCTTACCCTTCAAATGTCACATAATTATTCAATTCTAACGGTTCATCTTCTTCATTGTCGCCATCATTTGATGTTTTACAATCTGCTCGACATGTAAGGAAAAGAACACGACGAAGTTTTTTATTATGAAAAAAGAAATTAAATGACCAAATAATTCCACTTTCAGAAAATGGATCCGATGTTCCATCAGGACGATAACTATTGTTTAAACAAAAAAAACAATAACATAAATTATCATTTTGTTTTTCTTTGCAATTATTTAATTACCTAAATATTTCACTTTCTTTTATATTGATTTCTTCATCAATTACTGACCATAATTTTGATGACAACGATCGATAATAATCACCCATAACTGATATGAATCGTGAATCAACAGCATTTTTAACCAACTATAGTCAAATATAAGGAAATAAAATTATCTTTAATAGACAGCAACACACCTCTAAATTAGTCTCTCGACTAAAATCTTGACTTGTACAAGAACTAAATTCATAATCTGGTTGAAATGATGCATTTAATGTTGATATAAGAAAAATAAGAGTTTTTCGTGGTATTGTTTTATTTAAGGGCGATTCATCATCACTTGATATTGATCGAGCCATTGGATTTGTATGTATGATTTGTATTGGAGAATTTAATAAACTATAATTATATACAGGTGATTGAGTTTGTGATGGACCAAGAATTTCAAGATCATGTGGTGATGTGCCAGGTTCATTTCGTAATTGTTTATATAATTTTTTTGGATCACCGGCCATTTTACATGAATAACTTTCCACACTAATTTCATTACAAAAAAAAAAAGCAAACATGATTGGATAAAAATATAGTTTTATTGACATACCGAGTTATGATATCACAAGCAGGTGTTTCAAAAGATAGAGTGGAACTAATAGCATCCAGATTCGAATTTTCTAATAATTTCATTTTATTAATAACAGCAAATTATTATGAAATATTTTCAATAATAATGAAGGAATTCTACTAGAAATGAAAACAGATGAAAATGATTAGGATTATTTATATGGGTTTTTGTTTATTTACTTTTTGAGATGCGTGTTGTTGTTTTATTTGACAGATGACATGATTTGTGTCGCCATCTAGAAAAGAAATAATTATGCGTGTAAAAAAAAATTAATTTTTATTGTCTATCAAAAGAAATAATTAATTAAAGTATTTTATTTAAGAATAATTAAATAAAGGTGGTTACTATACATTAAGTATAATGTGATGGTAGATTTTGGCATGAAAAAAAAATGTCCTAATTTCTGTATATTCCATATTTTTTAGATTGAGAAATATAATCAAAGTGACTTTTCCTCCTAATTTCACACCAGAGATCTACAACCTGATCTAACTTGCGAATGGGTGCAGATGAAACTTTCAAAACTAACAGGTTCTTTGTTTTGTCTAATGCAATCTACCGTTCTCTATGAGCTTTTGGAGGACTGATGTAAAAACAATGTACGATGAAGCTGTCAGCTCATATTGTCTCTAGATATCTTAGTAATGGTTCAAACAATTCTGAAGTGGTTGCATTACTTTGTGTTCTTCTATAGACTATGAAGAAGTATATTACAGCACAGACATATTATTTTACTGACATACTTCAAATTTAATGTGAAATTCTAATGGATGTTCAATGAAGAATGGACCACTCTATAATTGTATGATATCTCTTTTAATGTCCGTTTCTTCAGACTTTGTTCTTTTTTAATGAAAGATTCTCTTTTCATTTTTTACAAAACGGTATGTTTCTTATCAATATTACTAACATCCGTAATTTTACAAGCCATGCATTAAACAAACCATCAAACGTGAACAATTTTGTAAAACAATTTTTTTATTAAATTATTTTGATTGCATTATTTAGTTTTTGTCTACCGATTTGTCTCAAATTAAATATTTCCATATATTTGAATCTCGATAATACGACGGTCAATCGTTCTTGATGATGAAAGAGGGAAAATTATCTTGGCATCACTATTGCGTGAGTTGATGAACCTGCAGCTTCGCACTATCACCTACTGAAATGTCTTGTTACTTAGTCGAAAATGATCATCGACGTCAGATTGAACATTTTAGTAGACGGTAGTGCGAAGCTACCGATCCATCAACTTACATAACAGTAGTGCCAAGATACGTTTCCCGCTTTCATTGTCGAGAACCATCAACTACCGGATAGTCTACATTTCAGTCCATTGGACTATGCAATTTGAGACAAATTCATAGATTTCACCAATTTCATGAAATATTTATTTGTTGCTAACTGTTATCAAAGTTTCATAATAATGCATTGAAGTCGATTCTGTATAAACGTATACTTTAATATATCGATGATATATTAGTTAGAATTATCTGTGATTATTATTATTAAATTTGATATTTCCTAAATATGCTTCATTACTGTAAAACTTTTACTATTTAACATTTGTTTAATGGGAACACCTCCTTACTCTGGATAGTAAACACTTTTTTGGCGTCCCTCTTGTTATTACAACCTCCCTAATGTGGATATGTCTTTTTGATCTTTTTCTCTTTTCTGTCATATGTTTCGTATGTGCTACGATAATATGCATATTGTGTATGATTCGACTGCTGTATGTATAAAGTAAAAAATGACATCATGACACGAACTTACTTTGCCAAAAAAATAAAATACTATTAATTCATGCTAATGAAGATGGTAATGATTTATCACAAAACAAATTGGATGAAAAATATAATATTTCATTCAATTCTATAGCAAATATTTTAAAATATAAGACAGAATTTTTGAGTGATTATGAAATAAATCAGCATCAAAATAATAGATAAAAATTAAAAGGTATCAATACACAAAAACTAGATGATTAAGTGTATAAATGGGTTGTACAATAAACTAAAAAAAAATTCCTTCGAAAGCAAAGAAGACAAAGCAACATTAGAAAATTCTTTTTAAAAACACTTAAATTTTGTGTTGTACTTGAAAAACTTTTTAATTCAAATCATTCAGATGAAATTAGACGAGCAGGAGAATAGATAGACAGGCTTTTGTCTGTGACTAATATAGAAGCAGATTTTGTACAAGGTTTTCTTTATCACACAACAAACCATGCTTCAACTTTTTCAAGTGAACATGTTCGTATAGTGCACACTTCTGAATGGTCCTGATGTTGTTCACAATAGAGAGATTTTACTACAATATGCCTGTTAATTGATTGGATACATGTTTTTTTTTATAATTGTTAATAATGAACTGATCATAAGCAAGGCTGATAGCTCTGAAGGATGGTTTCATTAATCTATTCATTATATATTGATTAATTTCAAATGAATTCTAAATACGGTCAGCATTAAATTCATCGTATTCGAGCTCTTGGTTTATGTCGTTAAGCACATATTTGCTTCATCTCAAGTATCAGTTAATATAACGTTTCAAAGTGTTTACGTATTAACATTATTTAATCCTCCATAATACAATCTTAATCAGATATGATAATAAGAAATCATCAGAGCGTATAGTAGAAGAGGGAGAAAAACAAAAGAGAATGATAACAATCGCAGACACCTATTCACACATGACGATAGGTTATTAAGGGCAAAAAATAAGTATTTTTGAAGAATACTATCAAATGATAACTATATCAACAACCAAGATATGTTCAGATGTCCAAAAAAAAAAGTGTGATTCTCTATCAACGAAAATTTCTATCGAAGCATAGTAATCCATCAAAAACAACAGCCAGCAACTTACGGAAACTTAACAAGAAGTTCCGCTAATTTCCAAACTTTCCCAGTAACTTCCACCTATTCTGCAGCTATTTTTTCGTTGCTCTGCAGCTGCTAAATGATACAACAGAACACAAAATACTCTTTGCCATTCTGATTGTCTTCAATCTGAAGACGTCTGGATCAATTGGGTTAATCTCCACCATAACTTTTGTCTTTAAGAAACAACAGAATATGTGAATAATGTAAGAAAAGAGGAACGCATTGTTATCGAGCAGTTTCGATCCAACTGATCGATATGAATAAAATTTTTCTTCTTTCCAACAATAGTCGCTATATTTACTATCGAACTACGAAAAAACCAAACGTAGTTCGAATAAAGCAAGAACTAGAGGGCAAATATGTTAACAATATCAAAAGAAGATCGTAAAAATCATCTATGCACGATGACAGAAACGGAAAAAAAAGAAAAAACCAAATATAACTCATTCACATTATGACACGGATATGAAAATTATAGATAAGACAACGAATCCGTTTTATCGTATTATCCAACAGAGAAGAAGAAAAAGAAACAGTTGTATTGCATAAAAACAAAAAAATATACTTGGATATTTCCAAGTTTTAAAGTGACTCTCGTATAAATTGGTGGTCAAAAAACAACGTGTGCTTGCTTCTCATTCAAAAAAAGGGCATTTTAGACACACAACACTATGATAACATATCGACTATTATTCACATTACTTCTCCTTATAAATTTGTATGTCTCAACGTGTCATGGTGGAGCTGCTGGTTTTGCTGCTGGACTAGTTTCTTGTAATGCTGGTTGTCAGGCTGCTTACTGGGCTTGTATAGCGGCAGGCGGTTCTCTTTCATGTAAGTGTATACAGTTTTTCTTCCAGAGCCAGTGTATTTTATTATTATTATTTCTGTTTAGCACTCATTACCGGTGGTTTAGCTCTCCCTGGTGTTGTAGGAGCTTGTACAGTTGGAGAAGCTGCGTGCATGGCAGCATGTGTGGCAACTTTTACTGTGGCTACTGGACCGATTTAAAGTTATTTATTTAAACAATAGACTACTTGGTTTTTTTAAATATTTACTATATATAATCAAGAAATGTTGTCACTTCTGTTTGATACTTTTTTTTACTTCTGATAATCATTGAAAGATCTTAAATTGTTTAACATCTTCAGGGGGTGGGTGTGAAAGATTTATAGCTATCACAATACGAGATATTTCGATATAGCTGAAACTTATCATTTTATCAAGTGGCACAGAATATTTGTATAGAAAATTCATCAAAAAATAGATCGATTTATCTCTTAACAGTGAAAAGACAAGTTTAATCTGCTAGTCTCAACTTTTTCTTCTCAGTAATCGACTACGTCCAAAATGAAATAACAATAGAAGAACAAATGAGTAAATATGCTTGGATAAAAGTTATTAAAGAAACGCAGAGTTAACTTCACCGACAAATTTCATGTTATTTATTGAACTATTAATATTTATCAGGGCTCCGGATTATATATACTAAGCATAAAAGCGATAAAAATTTCAATAGAAAAGCCATCAATGAAAGTTTAAATTAAAAAGTCGATCTAATCCTAATAATAAAGATCAAAATTAAAATACAAATAAGCAACAGAGCAATGGTACATTATTTATAAAATATATATCAAAAGAAAAATCCATTTTAAATAAAGAAAGCAATTTTTGAATTATAACATAAGCAGAAGTTATTTTTTAATCGATAGATAGAGAATTGTTCGATTTTACTGTATATGGCATGTTATTGTGACTTGTAATAATATTGAACAGTAATGGCTACTCTAGCAGTAATTTCTTCATATCTTGTTGCATTTTCTTTTATCATTTTTCGATAAGAAAGTAGATGTTGTATATTATTATACACCGAAAGGATTAAAACTACTAGGAATTAAACTTTGTTCTGATCTTCAATTTACTTTTCTTATTCTCATATTTTATTAAGATTAATGACGAGTAAATATTTCATGAGATTGATGAAAGAAGTTGTCATACAAAACCTGAATGATGCGTTCACAATAATTTCATAAAAGTATTTTTTTTACAAAATAGTTCATGTTTGACGCATGTTCAGTAAAATTACGGATGTCATTAACATATATTAATAAGAATTTCACTATTTTGCACACAATTAATAGACGAGTCTTTGAAAAGAAAACAAAACGTGAAGAAATGGATATTAAAAGAGAGATCATTCAAATATAGAAAGACTCATTCTTCTTAGAACACTCTTTATTACGATGACATTCAACATATAGGAGTGTGTTGTATGATCATGATTGAAAAATAGAACTCCCGAATCGTCGTCTTTTAATGTAATTGATATTCTTGGAAACAAACGAAATTGAATTTTTTTACAATCTGAATCGTCTCATTTTATAAAGAATAATTAAAAACTTAATTTAGTTTTTGTTGAAAGATTTAAAAGAACTATGGGAAACCTGTTTTGAAAAACCTGTGACGGTGACTATTGGATGCATGGCATCTGAACGAAGCACAATAGAAATTAAGAAATTTGTGTAAAACAAGAGATTATAAATATAAAAGTCTAATGAATTCCATATAAATGAAATTCTACTCAAATTCCGAATGTGAGTTCAAGTCCTTCTACGAATTGAATCGATTGATTATCAGACTTGTACACTGATATAAATCACTATGATATGAAAAGATATTATACCGATTGTTTGTTTCTTATGATGAAAACTGCAGATTGATAGTTTTGTTTTGAATCAGAGTTATTTACAAGAAAAAAAAATCAACACTGTTCTTCTATTGTGAAATAGATCATAGATGATCGTTTTATTTCAAAAAGAATTATGTTTGTTGATTGTGAAAAATTTCAATAATTGTCTTTCTTTTTTCTTTATTAAACTTTTGATACAATATTCAATAAATATTCATGATGTCGCTGTTTTCATAATGTTGTCATTTGTTATTGTATTTATATGCATGCTGCTCTTTTGTCTCAAAATCATCTTAAATGGGCGAGTTTGCAAAAGAATTTCACTATAAAATTGTTGTAAAGTTCTTCTTGGTGATATACTAAATTGTTCACTTAATTTTTCGATTCGATAATAATAAATCCAAGCAATAATAAGTAGAATACTTATTAAAAACCATGTTAACCAATAGATTATTTTTGTTAGAAGTGATATTAATTGAAATAATGGCCAACATGCTTTATTGTTATACTGTCTTTTTTTCTGACAATGATTAGGATAATGCTGTTGAAAATATAAAAAAGTTTTATCTAATAATGATCTATCTAACTGACAACATTTATCTATAAATTAACTTAATAGTTTTTTTTTTTGTTCGAGATTAATTATTGTTTTATCACTTACAAATTTTTATTTGCATATTATATTTCAATTTAGTATGATTAGTAAAAATATCTTTTTCAAGATTTTGTCGAATATTATGTGTTAATGTTAGAGTTATATATAAAAAATAAATAAATGTACAAAAATGTACAATTGTTAAAAATATTGTTGAATATATAAAAAGAACATTATGATTACGTAATTGTAAGCCTAAGAACATTGTAAATTGAAAAATACATGCTAAAATACCAAAAATCATATTGAAAATATTAAAATGATTGAAGATAAAACCAAAGACAATCATAAATGGAATAAGAATACTCGATATATAGTAAGTTATATACCATAAACGTAATAGATTATTATTGTTCATAATGGTATTACTATCGAAATAGACAACAAACTGAGCAACATAGTTTTAATGAATGTTTCTTTTTCAATATAAATAAATTTGTATGTACCCGCCTTTGAATATAAAATTACAATACTTTGAATAATCCTTGAAATTGATCTGAATAACGATTGATACCAAAGTAAATATAACATTTCATGTATATTTTTAAAATGATAGTTGAAATAGTTTGATGGAAGTATTTCATCTATACAAGCAATTGGCATCATTATCCAAAGCAGTTACTTTATCTACCTGATAGCTAGTTTTAAGATTATTATTTTATGTGACATTCTATATTATGTTTGATGATGTCAAATATATTTTTTAATGAAACATGTCAATAAAAATGTTTTATTTATTGATAATATCTTTGCTTTCCATTATCATGTATATTCATTAAGCAATAGATATGCAATATCTCAAATGATCAACTATGAATAATAGTCATGTGCAAATAAAGAGATTAAATATAAATGTATTTGATAAATTTATGATATGATTATAGTTGGAATAGATTATAGCATAAGTAAAAAACGTACAATATTGATAAACTTGACTCGTCATTAAATATAAAATTGAATGAACATCGATTTTTTTCAATTTTATCAATTGTTCGAAAGGAGCAGGATATTTACTAGTTTCTTTTTCAAAACGATTCTTCAACTGAAATCGCCACAAGTTGTATCACAATTGAGAAAAACTTCTCTCTATCTTTTACTATTTCCTATTTTCGTCAAGAACTTCAAAGAAAACATTATCAAATTAAAATTTTATCTAAAACAAATTCTATAGAACAATTTTGTTAAATATTGAGTATTAGAAACGTTTTCTGGATACTAGACCGATCGTAACTATATTACTTATTGAATAGATTATAGCTTATTTCTAAAATCAAGCATATATAATTTCACACTCATAATGAATATTTTCATAAAACATAATCATCAATGCAAAATTAACTTCTATAATATATTTACTCTCCATAATCGATATCATTTCTTTCATTTTATCGAATTGTTTTGAAATTTGTCAAAAAAAAAAAGATAGATATTCATGATGAGTTTTAAAATGCTTCAATAAATTATTTCTTTTTGGCATAAGTAGACAATTGAGATTTTCTTGAAGCTGTTTTCTGTTGTTTATTCGGAGAACGATTACGTTCATCATGAGCAAACCAATCAGGAACACCGAATACATGTTCACTTTTTGGTGATTTCTTTTCTTGTTGTTGATCATTATCAAAATCTAGTGGTGATGGATATTGTTCACACATAGCATCCCACCAAAGTGGTCTTGGATATGGTACTGGTTCTTTACTTTTGCATGTTGCTGGATCAATATACGTGAGTAAACCAGGACTACCACCTAATTTACATCGACGTATATAATCCGAATCAGTTTCTCGAACATAGATTACTTTTGGTTGATCATCTGCTTCTTCATCATCGAATACACCATTAAGATAAGGAATTTGTGACAATAGAGGAGCAGTTAATGCTCCATGACTACTCTTTTTTAATGATGAATGAATATGTTCAACTTCATCTTCAGGCTTTCGTCGCGAATTAGACATATATATATATATATATACGAATTTTTAAAGATATGTATTATGTTTTAGATGATTTTTATCATCTTTTAAATGTTTTAAATTGTTTCTCTATCAATAACCTCTAGTCAAAAACATAATTCTAGATGTCACTAAGTATTTCAAAAAACTATGGATGGTCTTCTGTTCAACCATTCCATAATCCGATAATATATATATATATAATATATATATTTATTATTTATTTATTCATTGATTTTATTTTCAAAGTTATTTCAAAAAAAAAAATGGAACCTATAACTACTATTAATGTTGTTGATCATCAAACTGATCAATCTAATAATACTCCCACAATAATGCATCTGGATGATGAACAATCAAATAAAGATATATGTCCATGTGATAATCATGAAAATGAATCTTCAATACAGTTAACAAATGATGATGAATTAATAATAAGACTTGATAATTTATTACTTGATAATGAATTAGATTCAAATATATATTTTCATTCATATCAATCAGAAAAACAAATGTCATCTATAATGTCTTTAATTAGTAGTACATTATCAGAACCATATTCAATATATACATATCGTTATTTTATTCATAATTGGCCTGATTTATGTTTTTTATGTTCAAATCTTGAAACCAATGATTTAATTGGTGCCATTATATCAAAATTAGATTTACATAAAAATTCTTTACGTCGTGGTTATATAGCAATGTTAGCAATTAAGCAAGAATATCGACGAAAAAAAATTGCTTCAACACTTGTTCTTATGAGTATAAGAGAAATGATAAAACGTGGATGTGATGAAATTGTACTTGAGGCTGAAGTAACTAATCATGCAGCTTTAAATCTCTATGAAAATTTAGGTTTTTTACGTGAAAAACGTTTATATCGATATTATTTAAATGGTGTTGACGCTTATCGACTCAAACTTTGGTTAAAATGAAAGATTGTCAGATATTGGAAAAGAAAAGTATTTATTTCAGTTTTTAATTTAATTTCTTTAAATTGTCGTTTGCTTAAACTTATTCATTATTATTATTATTATTATTATTGTTATCAATGCTATTTTTTTTTTTATAAAATAACTTGCAAAAGAATTAATTTACTTTTAACATCTGTACTACAAAAAGACTTTTCTTTTATTGTTTTGTTAATCTATTACAAAATGAAAGCACACAGAATATCTATATGTTAATGTGATTCATTATTAATCGATAGAGTGAAATGACAGTATATGCAAGACAACGTTTGAATAAAATCTGGATATGAAAAATGTGTTGTGAAATTACGATAAAAATCAATATAATATTCTATTGTAGAATAAATCAATCATGCATGTTTTTCTATAGGCTTTTTAATGTGAAATATTAAAAATTTTGCATTCTATCGTTTTTTCATTATATAATTTCTTCTGATAATAATTCTATGCTATGATATATAAAAACGTGTATAAATTATAGAATGGTAAAGCTAAACAATATGTGTCTAACAGATAGAGCCCATCG